TATAACATATGAATACAACGGGGGCTGGAACGCAATCCTGTAAACCAGTGACTGGTCTCCGCTTGTGTCTATGAAGCCTGGAAGCACCGTCGCATGAGAAAATGAACAACACTTCGCCAGATCTTTGCTCATTATCCAGCTAATATTCATAAAATGACTCTGCAGCAAAAGGATCATTTAACCTGTCGAATTGAGAAAAAGTAGGAAGTACCATTTGGATTGAATGTTTGCACGACATCAAGTGAATTATCAGCCAAAAGAACAGGTAATGTTTGGGAGAGGTAGAGCAGCCAATCAGGTGATAGTCGGATATCTTCTTCAATGACAGCGACGGAAGTTGCGGATGGAAAAACTGCGAATGCGGCGGAAAGTGCCGACAATATAAGAGCTGTAATTACTCAGCACAATTATCAATAAAGAAAAGAAAACTACAAAAATAAGGGAAAAAGCAAAACTGACAGTTATATCCATTCGATGCGTTAACGGGCAGAGACTTCACATGAAAAAGGGAAGAAAGCTCGGCATTTTCCGGATATTCCTGAAAATATGTCGCAGTAGTGGGACGAAAAAATATAACTGGGAATATTCCTAACCTTGTCATACACAACTATGATCATTTGCGTATTTAAACCTTCCTGTTCCATAAGCGATTCCAGACATATGCGCAGAGAATCCGTTGATAGTCCTGATATGAATAACTGTTACATCTTTGGAAGTGAGCCAAGTCAAAGGCTGAGAAAAGCTCTACCTGCAGCAACTACAATAGGCATGTTAAAAACAGGATCTCCAACTCGGTCGCGATTCAGTAAAGCTCTGGGACGGATGAGTTCATCGATGCGGTTTTCTATAAATGAGATGATGTAGATGAACTCCTCATGATAGAGAACATCTGTTCTTCATCCGCATGAGTCCAAAACAGACCACTACAAAATTCCCCATGTCGATCGTGCTTCAGGCAGAAATGACGGCGAGGAAGATTGAGCGGGCGAGTAGAAGTGCCTGCTTTACCACTTGGCCGACCACGCCAGGTATCAACTGTAACCAGCAGCCGTTAGAAAACAACGATTTCGCTCCACATATTTTGAAAAGTGCAAGAATCAAATTGTAGTTTCGTCAATAGTACTGCTCTGTAAAATCTAATGTTGGTCAAATTTGAAAAAGCTCATATCGGAAGGCTCATTGTCAGATTATCATAGGAACTGTAAGCTTGTCCGAGCCGAGTTTTTTTTTGGCAATTCTATGGCGCTGTAATGAAGGAGAGCTCGCCAAAAAAGCTCCTAAAAATTTGACATCAGTTTTGCAACTCTTTCGTAAAATTTCGACTCTTCTTCAATGAATATATTCAAGTGTCACATTGTTTTAGACGTCAATATACTAATTGAAGCAATAAAACTGACATAAACTACGAAAGAGATTAATATTCACTGTTCACGGGAATTCCATTTTTTAAATTCATTTCATTTTTGACTTTTGGATGATTTTTGCACTCGTAGACCAAAATTCCGCCCTCACATTACACTCAGAAGGCATATTGATGTCTTGATAGGTTTCGCCCAGCTGTTACCAGATGGAATATTCAGATCCTCGAAAGGGGTGTACGCTGCCAATCCTTTATGACCAACGAAGTACCTTCAAAAGAGAATACAGTTCATTTTGAGTTTATGATTGAACGCTGTCATTCTTACCAAGACGCTCGAAATTTGAGTCTGTGGATCATGCTGGATCCCATTTCGTAAAATATCCTTTTTGCCATGTCTGATAACCTATAAATAAAGACGAGCAAATCTTTCATCACAGAAGTCCAATAAATATTATGTTAAATTGTTATTCTGGAAACTCCTACATGTTGGATGCCTCGTCAAAGCTAACTACAGCCATTACATCTCCCAGTGGTACATTTTCCAACCATTCCTCCAGAGCGGACGATTCTTAAAGAAAATTCTTAACTTCCATAAGAAATCGTCGAAGGTTCCGGTCATAGATGTTGCACAACAATTCATAGCCGGATGAATTAATGGACATCTTACTATCACTGCAAGATGAACTGATCGCTTTTTTTCACCAACTAAATGATCAGAAATTGCATAAAATGCTTGAAAGCAATCTGCTCAGCCACTGCGAGTGTACGAAAAATGCAGAAAAAGCGGTCCATTACTTCGCGCGTTTCCCTTTTAGCCGCCGCAGACTACATGTTAGACAAGTGTCCTATCAATGTATCGGATTTCAAATTCACATGCAACTTTCAACGTCCTTTTACAAACGAGAAACAAGTTAGAGTGATAGTACAAGTGGTTGAGAAACTTGTTTTGAAGATTCAAGATTAATTGTGGCCCATATTTGCATCTTTATCTTCATTTTTGTTCGCTATCAGATCAACGAATCAAGTCTTTCAGAGCTGTAAGCATAAATGCTGCGCGCAATAGGCACTCGAGGAAAACGCGCGCCGCCAGGAGAGTCATAAGAAATCCTATTTTGATTTCTAAACCATGATAAAACATACCATCTTGATAAGTGTCAAAGTGCGCCACCGATGAAACTCGACCAGTCTTAGGCTCAATGGATACTAAATTGAGACCACGACCAGCACCATTCAAATCGTGGTCGAATACCATGCGTCCTCCCACACATAAACGAGGCCAATCGTCCTTATGCTCGCCCGTGAAGAAATGCATTGGAATCTCATCTGAATATTGTGAAAAGGTCTTCATCACAGTAAAATGAGGCGCCGAAACAAACACAACACAACAACAAGAAGTAGCGAGCTGCAGAGTTAACAACGTGCTTAAGACATACCAGGACCACAAGGTGTAGCCATTCCACACCACTTCCATTCTGGTCCAAGTTTTACATTTTGATCAGCGTCTCTCGAGCCACCACCAAGAGCTGCCATTTTTTCGGGATCAATCCTAAATATCGAAAAGTTGCAACTGTAGATACTTTCTCAAAAAAATTGAAAAACTAGCTCATAGATAAATGTAGTCCACAATGTCATTGGCAACCATGATTTGACGTAGGTCAAGTATGTCGGAAAAACAGGAGGATGGGTGCTTCGCCAGGTGATTAAAACGCGGCAGTTTAGTCGTTTTTTCCTTACGTTCCTTCTAATGTATATGAAACTGGTCATAGACGCTTGATGTTCCAACAACACTGAAGCAAAAGGGGCATTCCTAGACTGTTTATACTCTGCGACTGAACTTACACTCAGCGGTGTGAACTCTGCACTGAAGCGTTATGTGTTACCAATCAGTGCGCATACTTTCTTGGAAACTTATATATTCGAAGAAGAAATACTCTTACAGTTTCTGGCAAAACATCGCCTGAAAGCATGCTCATATGGCACGTCAAAGCACCCCGGGCCAGGACCATCCAAACAACCATAGGTCCCCAAACGCCCCCTCTAATTTGGCCTTGCAAAGCTAAAGAACGCAAACTAACAACTGACCCGCGCGTATCCCCGTTAGAACGAAAACGGAAATATGAATGCCGTCGGCCCTTTCCCAAATCGGTCATAAGAGTTCCAAAGCTCGGGTCTGCGGCCGCGCCACCGGAAACTGACGGTACAGAACGAGAAAAAGGCTCGTAATTCCTCCACCACCGTGTGAAGCCAGTCAATAACAACATTGGAAATACACTGCGAAAACTGGATTCGCTCTAGGAAGTCTTCCGATCACCTACCACTAAAGCACTACTGGCCCTGCTTGGATGAGTCGAACCTACCCCACGGAACTCAACATATCCACCTCACGATATCATACCCAGTACATTGCCACACTGTCACAGCAGACGATCACACCAAATCCTGCCTGAAAGATAAAGGTACTTCGAAATTCATTCCAAAACAAATATGCGCAAATAACTTTCCGACCCGGTCGACAAATCACCAATTCACAAACAAGCTCACACTGGTCCAGGGACACTCCCAGCTCGCCGTTGCAGTCTGTGAAAGGCAAGTACAGCAGTGACCCATGATTTCGCCGATTTTGGTTCAAATTCAATTTTCAATGATGTCAATTACCCTCATATCTAAATTTAAGCTGACAGTTGTCTGCCCTAACCACAGGACACTTGGGCTAGCCAGGAATTGTCAGCAAGGCTACAAATGCGGCCAACCCTGCCTCGATAATTAAGTTAAGTCGCAAGAATCGAAAACGAATTACTCAAGCGACCAAACGCCAACGCATTTAGTCTAACTACAATTTCAAAGAAAGAGGTCCGTTGCTCGGTTGCGAGCGTAGGCCGCCAAGATGCATTCGCACCCACAGCCACATCTCTATGAGTCGCCATACGATTACCTGCCAACGCAAGTAAAGACCGTAGCAGAATGAAGACCTCGATGATTATGTACCAGCATGGCGTCCAGAGACACGACCATCGACCGGAGGACGCCTGCCCATTCACCAACTCAGAAAGTTCATTCTTCCAACACACACACACAAATAGACCCCCAATCATCACCCCTAGTTGGTCACTAGTGCAGATGAGTCATGAAATCCACCTAACCGATAACCAACAAACACGTTCACCAGACATCAAGCGCCCATTTGGGCTCCTCTGCAGTCTGACTCACCTTCTCGACCAAGCAGAGTTTTTCTCTCTAGAGGATATTACCCGTTTGCTTGAATTCGCGGGTATCCTGTTTTTAGAACATATTTACTTTATGCAACCAACATATGCGAAAGCCGTGACTATTGTAATAAGTCCTCAATTGGCTAAGACAGCAAGTGCGAAGAACGGTTCGGTAAACGTCCCTCAGACATCTCCTTCCATCGAAGCCGACAGTCCTACCCTCGCCCTGAAATCAACATAGCGAAATTGGCTGAGAGCAACTCTCTAGACCTCCGCGCTCGAAAGGAACATGGGTCTTGCGACCGACATGCGGATGTCCGCCAGTAATACAATCTCCGTGGATAGCCTGACATTGCTCCAAGGTCGTAAAAACCTGACATCCCGATCCCCCCAGCTCCCTGAAGCAGCAGCTTGGAGAGAAAAGAGTCAGTAAATGCAACCACCCCAAAAACAACATCTCCGAACTTTTCATTCCACAGCTCCATTCATTCTGGAAGGAATGCATCCATTCGTTGACTAACCAAGTGGCGCATCCCACGTATCAGTGCATTATGATGGGTTTACTTTTTTGATACAATTCTGTTTAATCAAGATAAAATTGACAGAAATCCCGAAGTGTTGAAATTCGCCAGAAATAGGGTCAACCGCGTAATAACTTCGTCATAGCATACATTATCGAAGCTTACAAGGGAAGGATACCAAGTCGAAGTGGCCATCCGTAATGAAACCTATACTCAGAGATGTGTTTTCGGACGCTGATCTCGAATCCACTCTCCAAATTTGCGAAACGATTCTCTGAAAAGTGTTACGGAGGTTGTTTCGAATGAAAGCCCACTGTAAGAGACTCCGGCAGAGCTCGGCTTCCAGCGGCGGCTTGGCCTAGTGGTAGTGTTGGCGGCGCTCGCCTTCAGGGAGGAGGGACCGCGCCGCATGATGCGGAACCTCTCGGCATCGATTTTTGCTTTTTGTAACTTAATATCAATTAAGTATAAAAAATTATTCAGGTTGACATTCTTCAACTGGCTTCCCAAAGCTCCACACGCATTGTCCTTTTAGCCCCCCCACCCCCCGGGGCCCCCACCCAGCCAGGGGTCTGTTTCATAAAGCGGCATTCGCAACTTTTTCGTAACTTGCTCCCACCACTGTGGGAACCGTTTACTACGTCATGGCTCCGTGCGGCACGAAAAGTGCACGTATCACTCCCCAACCGAATGGGTAACCGGATGGTGAGATGTCTTTGCTAAAACGAGCCTCGAAGGCTTAATCTAGAAGCGCCTGAAACACTTGTACCCAATCGAAGCTCGTCCTAAAACCGAATGAGCTCTGTGCAAACCCTAGCCAAACCAGCCACTACTTATCTCGAAACGTGCTCCCCCTGGCAGCAAGAGCGACGATTAACCATAATATAAGGATGTCACCATAAAGTTGATCCTAATCTTCGAGTTGGGAAATGGCAACGCCGAGTCAATATAGTCCATTATTCCCGAAACGCAGCGACTAAGCATGCTTCGTTGCTCCAAAAAGAAATGATTGAACGTTAACTCCATCTCTAAGCGATCAGCCTCACAGTTGGTTTGGACGATAGATGACTCCCACTGTTTTCACTTCAAGTTCAAAATTTTAGACTTTGGCACCAAATGCTGCCTTTTGAGAAGTCAGGTGCCCCGCTTTAGCGGCCCCTGAAGACCACGTAATGTCGTATACTGCTCCCAGTTGGTCAGAGAACAAATTACAGCATAACAAAGCGCGGCTAACGGTCACCGCAGGCGGTAAATTGAAAAAAGACGAAACCGCACCCCGAGTGCTCCGAAGCTCTTCGCCCAGCGCGTTCACTTGTGACTATAGCAGAACGTGCTGAGATATACCTTATGCAATGTTGTAAATAGAGCCTCCCAATCCCTGAGCAACGTAATCAAGAAAAAGAAAAAACAGTGAAACCTCGCCAGAAACTCGAACTCCCGACCTCCTCGTTCGTTGAGCAAACTTCGCCCCAAAACCGCACCGCTGCCACTGCACTATCTCGCTTCACAACTACGTTCAAAGAGTCGTTTCGCAGATTTGAGATAAGCGTCCAAAAACACATCTAGTGGTGTGTGTCCCGTTACAAATGGCCACTTCGACCTGGTATCCTTCCCCTGTGAGTTAGGACATTAATTTTGTTTTGGAGAGATTCCATAGAAAGACCAGACACTAAGCCACGGCTTTGAGTTGGACCGACAGACCGAAGCACTACTTCACTGGTGCATTCATGCTTGCAATCTATGCGGCACCAAGACTAAAGCGGCGACTCGATCCCATGCTCTCCGATTTTCAGTGAAAAAAAAAACCAGTTCCTCCACCTCCGCATCTTCTTCATGCTGACATTAACTGTGTCACCGGGCAGAACGTCAACCTACGCTGGTCTAACAATTCGCCCAGAAGCGACCAGTTTACACGTGGGAAACACCCAAACGAACTTCATCTTTCCTCCCAATTTTAACTTTGTGCCCGCAAGCACATCAACGGGCTACCCGTGATCTCGCACGACAGTTTAACCTCCCGGGGGGCCGGCAACTTGTTGACTGAGCCATCCCGTGTAGCAGATCATTTTCCCCCCTTGAACTTGGACCATATAGCTGAGTTTGCAGCAACCCACAGAGCAGCGTCGAACACTAAAGCTCCTAAACTTTAAATACGACAAGTATCGCAGCCGCCTACCCGCTCCTATAACTACTAATGGACGACCAGTCTTATCCCTGACAATTCCACGAAGCTGCCTCAGTGATCGCTAATTCAGTCATGCTTCCTCCTCTACGTCATTTTCACCACAACTGTTCGAAAAACACTACGAGTCAGAAGGCTTTTCCAGGTCACCTGCCTCCAAGTTCCAAGTCCGCATCTTAAATGTATCTCGCAGAAAAACTGCTAACTTGGAGAGCCGGGCCACCGGTTCTCAGTTAAGCGCAGCTAAATACCAGCATTGGAACAACAGCGAATAGATAGCTTCTGCCAAGACAGCGAAGAAAATACGACCCCGCCAAAACGACGTCACACAGGAAGTAAACCGAATTTAATTAAGGAATTTTGCAACAGCTAAAAAGAATCTCTTGCCACTCATACTTGCAATAATTCCCTCGGTATGTTTTAGTTGGCACTGCCATAACTGCCACCAGAGAATTCTAAGAGGAATAGTAAGAACCCTTGAATCAGCCGTCAAGCGCAGTGCTTCGCTTGGTCCCCCCGCGCCTCTGTCAGGCTACGCGGACCGCCCGGACGCGAAGATGACCCTAGAGGCAGGGCGGTTGGCCCCCGGACCTTGTGGTGCCACTAGCGAATACAACGTTAAACCGAAAGTGGAGCAGGATCCGGACGATATATTCGTGCATCGAAGGGTAACAGAGATGTAAACAATCGAACAGCCAGTTAATATGACTAACCGCTACGCATATCGCCGTTCACGCTACAAGGATTTGTCGTCGCTAAAAACACTCATCTACGCAGGTCCTGATACTTTCGATCACAACAATTAAGGACCACAGATCTTTTTTACGACTACAACCCTTAGTGACCATTCTCGGAGCTAAGAAGAAGTACCTCTCTGCTCACTGATCATCGTTACGAAAAGGAACGGTTACTATCTCCAACTCCACTTATGATTAACCATTTTGGCTCCCCACACTAACGCGTGCGCGCAGTAGGCAACTGAAACTTCCCCTGAACCAAGCTCAACCTCAACATACCCCGCCTATATGGAATTTGAATGTTATTCGAACTTTTTGCGGATTTTGGATTTTTCTGCACTCTAAACCCACAGGAGCCGCCTTAGCCTCAATGGTCACTTGATCTTCTTCGCATCATATACTTCGATGACTCAGGCACCTTCCTTTCCGTCAAATGGCCAGTTGACTACCCTCTTGTTTGCCCAAATTCCAATTTTTTTCCCGTGATTTCAGGGCTGCCTCATCCGACGCGAATTCTACACTGCGTTCATAAATATAGGTCCAGCACCTAATTTTTTTTGTGCTATTCCAATAAGTGGGCTGTCATTGTTTGGAAAACGCCGCTATTACCGAATAGACCTCTTACCACCCATCAACAGAACCTCCACCAATTCATATGGACTTTACTGGAGAAATCTCGATCACAGATAATTATAGCAAAAGGTCTTCCTACGAATCGTAATCTTCCCTAAAATTTTAAACCCGTTCGCAAATATGACTACCCATCCCCCTAATCGAGAGATATTTATTATCCCGTAAAAAACGTCCACGAGAGTTTCATACCATATGGCGACCACCGCGCCCAGATAATCATAATAGCACGCTCATCCATTAATAGATCGTGCGCCCTTCGACGGATTTGAAATGCTGGTAGCCAAATTAGCTATTACAGTAGGATCGAAATTCGTCTGGGCGCCGATGATCGACCTTTTCAGCTTTTCGGCTGTTCCATTTTGCTTTACTTTGCTGTGGAACTTTATAACAATTAAGGCCCAATGATTCTCTATTGGAATCTAATTCAGATAACATGGTGGCCACCAGATAACTGCCACATTTTTTCCTGCAATTCCATCTGGCGCGGAGGGACCGGCATGGACAGCCGCGTTATCGTGTGTGAAAATCAAGGATAGAGGGGATCCTTGTTGAAAAATGGGTAAGACTCGCTTCGAAAGAACTTCACGATACCCTGTGGAATCTTTGTGAACGGAAACAAAAGCGAGCTCTAGCTACTCAGTCGTTCAAAGGTGCCTCAAACCATAAGGGATTCACCGCCGAAATTACGTTACATTGAAACCATCTGCGATTTTCACGCGATCATCCTGTACCCTCTTTTTCTGCCATATCCACCTAGAATAAACTTTTCCACGTCGATCTCAGACCACCTGTAGAACGAAACAAGGAGGTAGAGTCCAAGATCGCGAAGGGTCTTAACAGCCACACCATCGCTCATTAAGTTGAGCCCCCTTTTCCACGGAGAAATGGAGACTTGCGATCTTGTAGCGCTCAAATAATCTTGGAACGCTCTTCATCAATCCGTTGAAGATGTTATTGCTCTGCTGGCTTACTCACCACACGGTGGTTTTGCTCACGGAAGGCCGCATTTCAGTACGGACTTTGTTCGGACTCCTTGTATAATTCGAGAGAAGACACCCAATTCCTCCTAAATTTTGAAGGAAACGCAGTCTTTATTTACCTAAGCGCGACTTCTCTCCGCCGCACTGACCAGGATTTTGCACATAGTCGCTTATGCAGTATGAGCCGGCCGACATGGGAGGAAATTCTGCTCCTCAGCTATCCCACTTCAGTAAGTGCTCTAGCTTGAGCTTGTTACTGGGAAGAGAGGCGAATAACACGAGGTATGGTAAACTCGATGTCGACTGAGCCCACATATTTCCCCGCTTCCCTGATTCCCTTCACGGATCGTGAGAAATGGAAACTTTTTATGAGTGGCCCGATATTCATGAAACGGTGAAAAATTCGTTCTAAAAAAGTTAATTGGGTTACTTGAGGGGGAATTTGTCAGAAAAACACTATGAAGGTTTTCCGTGATGAGGAATCTAACGGTGATAGCAGCATTTCCAAAAAATGCACAGCAACTTTGGGGTAGCAAAAATTTAGGGTGGACCTATAATTATGAAACGCAGTGTATAATACTGTGCAAGCCTCCGCCTACCCCGACAATCGCTTGCCCAACCGACAACAATTGACCTCTTATTCATTGCTAGGCTACACTCACCTCTTTCACGGTTTCCTGACGGTCTCGGGACCGAGTTATAGTGCTTTGGCAGCAAACTCCGCCCACTTTGATGCACGTCACACGCACTCCACTCCCATGGTCCGACGACCAACTACTCATCACTTATCGCCAACCCTCCATGGCCACTTCCACGGCCCGATGTGCTAAAGACAGTGCTCAGAACCCAATTGTGAGACCTTGACTACGCACCGAGCAACGAACCCTCCGCCAAAGTGAGCGCATCTCACCAGCTCTTCATGACGTAGTCTCACTCAGTCTCTTCAGGTATGCTGGGGACACCCGATTTTGCTCTTCAACACCAGTTTTTTCTGAACTATTCCCCTAACCGAGTTACGAGCTTCTGTGGGCACCACCCACGCTGCGGGAGTCTCCGAAATTCGATTTAGCAACCCAGTGCACACCTTCACTATTCTTTCCGGTCGCCGAACCGTTCTGGAATGGTCTTTAAAATTTCTGCCATCCGCACTACCCATTTTGCATGTCCCGCCCACGGTAGTGGAGCTCCAGATGCTGATGTGCGTTTTTCGAGCCATGCCCCATGCATCAAAAATTTAACGCGGACTCTGCAGGTAAGTCTTCAGGTAGTCCGAATTTCGTGACGGACACACACGAACAGACAGACTCAGCGCTTTCTACAGACAGGGCAAAGAAAGACCACTCTCCCTCCATACTTTTCAAACAGGATAATTACACTTTTCTAAATTCAAACCGAATGCAACAACTGATTTTGGAGAGCACATTCCATTCTATGAAAAAACTTCATAATTAGCCTTCTACGCCGATGGCATCAAAACATTTTCCCATGGAAACACGGGTCCGAACTCATCGAGGCCCCCGACGGATGATGGGCCAATATGACGTTATCTGAAATGCTGTTCGGCAAGGGTCTCGCGTACACCAACCTACTGTCTCTAGAAAGTTATACATCAACATCACCTAACTGATTGAGAAAAAATTGAAAAAAATATTAAGAAATGATGAGGCAGCTTCAGAATGGAGCGATTACGGTAAGCCCCTTTGAGCTCGACCGTGATGGAAGATGACGTCGTGAGGGCAATGAATGAGGGTTTGCCTATGCTTGAATTTGAGGACATCTAAGAAATATCCTGTCGTAGAACCTCCATCAAGGGCGGAAACTGCGCGATGCGCCACCGGGTAATGACCTTTTATAACCTCTCCTCCCCCCGCCCTGTATATAGTAGCGATAGGAACGCTAATCCTACCGTATAACGAGCCGCTCGACATCCCACATGTGCACAAATATCTAGTGTAGGTCATGTTTTAAACATGAAAAATCTTCTAAAATATGCATAGCAGAGTGCGCTCAATAAACGTGAGAAATTTTAACTTTGTTTATTATTTTACTTTGACTATGTGTATTTCAACCAACCTTTGAATATCGGAGAGCTCCTGTGTTATGTTTATGGTACGAACATCTCCAAGAGGTACATCGAAACAGCCCTCAATTGCATGCACACTATGCTCAAATGACTGTGGTACTACCTGAATATAGAAAAATATAGCCGTTGAGTAACCCTACTGTTATTTGAATGTGTTAAATCAGCTATATAACGAGCTTTGTTTTTCCAGTAAATATATCAAAACTAAATTAACTGATTACCTTGCTGCCACTCACAAATATGAAGTCTTACCAGCCTGGCCTGTGGAGCAGAAACCATTTCCTTCCGATCTAACCCTCAGCGTGGACGTGCTATGAGCGCTGCGTCAAAAGATATTACATTCATCCGCAGTGCTGATTACTGCATCATGCGATGAGTTGAAGAGAATCACGTATGTCGTCCTTACTATTTACTTCTGAACCTAATCTCTTTTTCCAGTGCCTCTGATATTTTCCTTGCCACTGTTGAGCCGAGTAGCCGACAACACTTGGTAGTGTGAGTGCTGACAAGCCATGGCAAAAAATATACCATGAAAATTCGAGTAAGAATTCGGGTACCCGACAGGAGGCACGTCGCGCAGCAATAAGGCAGCAGAGACAGCGGACGAGTCGCAGCGTGCTGTAGTGATTTTGCGCTAAATTAAATGGACATAGACTTGATATTAGGTTGGAAAGAAAGTCCTGCAACACTTTTTCAAATTTTTGATTTTAATTTTATCTTTTTTGTTTACAACTCCTGACCGGTCTTATATCTACCATGAGTGTCCACCACTTGTCTTCAACGCTCAGAAAATTTCTTGATGCTCCTTTGCCAAAACCCAGCGGAGTGCGGGTCGAGAAAGGAGGCGACCTCACTTTCGAGTTGGAGTTGATCGTCTAATTATTTCGTCATCAAGATGATGATTAAAGGTCCAGGATAGGTGCACTTATTTATAGCTCGACCAGGGGAATTACGCTAAGAGAGGTAAGAAATCTTGCCGCAACTCCAGAATTTCTTACCGGGCTCATTTCGGATCATGGTGATTCGCAATGTCATGAAAGAAATAAATATTGTCGCAGTAATCTACGAGGGCACAGCATGGACCTCTACACACAACGGTGCCCATACGAAGTGTTATATTGTAGTGAGCTTTCCGCAAAGCGCACTGTAATGGAGTGTGGGACGCTGCTGGCTCTTATGAAAATATCAAAAGATCGAAAGCGCTGATAAAGCTGAAACACGCTGTAGCGGTGCACGACATGCCTATTGAAGCGATTGCAGATAGTGTTGGTCTTTGACACGAATCCATAGTTATGGAGACATTTGTACTAGACAGTGACTCGGAGTATGGATTTACCAGTGGTCGAGGTTTTGAATTTTCTTGGATAACTACTGACTGCAGCACTTATATCCACCTCGTGGATTAAAGCCACGAGAATGCTCTACCATTTGTTAGTCATAAATGTTACCTATTGATTTTTCAAAAAGAAAGAAAATTTGGCACTATTCAACTATTACAACCCCAAAATCTCAAAATTTTATTTTTCGTCGAAACTTCCTCTATAGGGGTAATTCGGTGCCCTGATTACGAAAATGACATTCATTTTTTGGCGGTGGCGCCATCTGGGCGCCACCTTGTCACGACACATGTTTTCACCAAATTCGGTGTAAAGTTCTGTATAGGGGTTATTTGATGTCCTGATCACGAATATGACATTCGTTTTTGACATTACCGCTGTTTACCGCATACTTCCCGCTTTTCTGGGCTCTCTCACCTATACATAGCGCCTTGGGACTAAGCTTAGGGGATAGGGAGACTCGGAATGAGTGAATCAGGCACCGTGTGACGAAGATGGAGCGTGTGAGATCACAGGGTAGGGGCTCACTCACTGATATCTTTCCTCTCTCCTAAAGCTTAGTCCTGATCGCGATCTAGTCACTAGGAGGGCGCAGACGAAGAGATTAAAGCGCTAAATGGAGCTAGCGCCAAGAATGAATGTCATATTCGTAATCTGGACACCAAATTACCCCTACCCAGAAGTTTACATCGAGTTTGGTGAAAACAACTGTCGTGACAAGGTGACGCCACCTGGCGCCAGATGGCGCCCCCGTTGAAAAATGAATGTCATTTTCGTAATCAGGGCACCGAATTACCCCTATAGACAAAGTTTCGACGAAAAATAAAATTTTGAGATTTTGGGGTTGTAATAGTTGAATAGTGCCGAAAATGTAAAAACATGTACGCCTATGTGTGCTTG